GCCGGCGGCCGCACGGCCATGAAGCTGAAGCTGAAGAACGTGTTTCTCGCCTATTTCCTGGTGTCGATCGCAGGCCTCCTCTACGCGCTGGTGCAGCTCGGTGAGCGGGGCGGGGCGGGGGTGCGGCGGACCCGCCTGAGGGCGCCCGCCGCCGTGCAGCCCGCCCTGGGGATGAAGCTCCGCGCAGGCACCACGCAGCCCGCTCGGCCCTCCGACAGCCCTGTGCAGCAGCCGGGCGCCCTCCTCTCTGTAGGACGCGCCGCGGCTTCCCGCCGCACCTCGGATGAATTGCGGACTCCTTTCCCGAGTCCGCAAGGCCCCGCATGATCCTGTGGCCATCGGCCTTGGCAATCCCCTTTCCTTCCCCACTCGCTCGCTCTGCTCCGGCCGCACTGGCTGTGTGACAGTTTCTCGAAAAGCCCACGCGCGTTGCTCTCTCAAGCGCTTCACCTGTACCTTCTGGCTGCGGTGCTTTTCTCCCATTTCTTTCCTGGTCGCCTCTTTCTCATCCTTGAGGTCTCAGCTCAAATGTCACCGCCTCAGAGAGTCCTTCCCCGACCACTTTAGCTAGAGTAACTGCTTTTTCTGGATTCTCTTTTATACTCTATCTTATACGTCTCCTTCGTGGCCCTTGTCACAGTTCGTGACAATTTTACTAATTTGTTTCTTTGCTCAGTGCCTGCCTCCTCCACTAAACTGAAAGCTCCATGAAGGCAGGGACCATGTCTGCTTTCCCCCCTGCTGTATCCGCAGCACCTAAGGCTGTGCCTCCCACGAGGAGCATTCAATAAATATTTATCCAATAATGGAATCAATGAATTTTATGAGTCTTTGGTCACACAGCCACGGGAACAGATTGAACTTTGCCTCTTAGGCAGACGGCTTAGGGCTTGATCTTCAGGTATTTAAAAGACTGCCCTGTTTCAGGAGATTTAGTTGTTCTTTACATCTCTAGAAGGCAGCAACATGAGGATCAGCAAGTAGAAGGGTTGGAGGCAGATGATCAGCTCAATATTCAAATGAAAGCTGTAACAGATGGACTTGACTGGTTGGAGAGGGCTGCTGATTGAGACCATGAGCCCCCCACCCCCGAGGCGTGGAAGAGGCTGTTGGGGAAGTTGTCAGGAGATTTCCCCCTACACTGGCTAGGAGTTGAATGAGAACGTTCTGCCCCTTTGGGATGCTCAACATGCTGTGGTTCTCTGCCCCCATCCCTGCTTCCTGGGACCAGGTCAGCCATGTGACTGCCTCCCTCCCCTGCGCGCAGCAGCAGAGCAGCTTCGGCAGAAGGATCTGAGGATTTCCCAGCTGCAAGCTGATCTCCGTCGCCCACCCCCTGCCCCTGCCCAGCCCCCTGAACCTGAGGCCCTGCCTACTATCTATGTTGTTACCCCCACCTACGCCAGGTATGGGGTCTGGTGTACCCAAGAGGCCTGCCAGGGCCAGGATGTTGGTGTTGATGGAGTTTGGGGAGGCACTGGGCTAGAGGGTGTTCTGTAGGTGAGGGCATGCCAAATGAGAGGATAAAGGAACCACATCTTTCCTCAAAGATTTGTGGGGAAATGACTGTTTCTCTAGGGAAACGGGTATGCTATGAAATAGAATACACAGTTCTTAACAAATTTTAAGATAGAATAACAAAGTTTCAAAGAAATGTTGAGCTTGCCCTTGAATTCACTCTCTCAGGGATCCTTTGGTGAGAAAGTCTGGGGACCACTGGCTAATTGAAGTAGAAAAGGGCCTGGCCTTACTGTCATACTAAGGTCTAGAAACAGTTACCCCAGCTATGATTTGTGGTATGTTCACTCTCTACCAGCCACTGTGCTAAGTAAGGGCTTTTTTTTTTTTTTTTAATTAAAATGTAACTTTTATTTTGGCACAAACCCCTGGGGAACCTGGTTTTAGGTTTATAGCTAAAGAGCCTAAAAAAAAAAAATTAAAAATTAAAAAAAATAAAAATAAAGAGCCTGCCAACACCTCAGGGGAATCAAATGGCTTACCCATAAAAGCACAGGCAGCTCTAGACCCTGTCCCCTTCCACACACGCAGCCCCAACCCCACGGCAAGCAGAGCAATTGAGGGATAAATCTAGAAAAGACTGGGTCACACCTTCCCAGTTTCCTGTCTAACCTTAGATAAATCCTCTCCTGGAGAGGAATGAGGCAAAGGGCTCATCTAAATTTCTCATCCTGGAAACCCAGGAAGAGCACCTGGTATTTTAGAAAGTCATTAAAATTTGCTCTTTAAGGGGAAGCCTGGGTGGCTCAGCAGTTGGGCGTGTCTGCCTTTGGCTCAGGGCGTGATCCTGGAGTGCTGGGATCAAGTCCCACATTAGGCTCCCTGGATGGGAACCTGCTTCTCCCTCTGCCTGTGTTTCTGCCTCTCTCTTTCTGTCTCTCATGAATGAATAAATAAAATCTTAAAAAAAATTTTTGACCTTTAAGACAAAATCGTTGTAAAGTGCTGTTATTCCCATTTTCACAGCCAAGGAAACAGGCTTGGGGAGATCTGACCCATTTCCCCCAGTGTCTCACCTACTAAGTTACAGAGCTGGCATTCAAACCTAGATCTGTCTGATTCCAAAGCCTGTGCCCTTAACTTGTAGTCTCCCACAGCCAGAGCCCTGGGGTTGAGGCGGGTGCCAGACATGGGCTGCAGGAGAGTGCGGTGTGAAGTTGACAGGCAAGAAGAGGAATTTGGGTATTGGTTGGGCAAATGCTGTGGGGGATACTAGAAGGGGCCTGGGAGAAGCTATGTATACTGGCGGGAGTGAGCAAATGGTCCCGACCCCTTGCCCTCCTACGTATCTTTTCCCCTGCAGGCTGGTGCAGAAAGCGGAGCTGGTGCGGCTGTCCCAGACACTGAGCCTGGTGCCCCGGCTGCATTGGCTGCTGGTGGAGGATGCTGAGGGCCCCACCCCATTGGTCTCAGGGCTGCTGGCTGCCTCTGGCCTCCTCTTCACACACCTGGCGGTCCTCACCCCCAAGGCCCAACGGCTCAGAGAGGGTGAGCCAGGCTGGGTTCGGCCCCGTGGTGTAGAACAACGCAACAGGGCCCTCGACTGGCTCCGGAGTGGAGGGGGTGCTGTCGGGGGAGAGAAGGACCCCCCCCCAGCTGGCACCCGGGGAGTCGTGTACTTTGCTGATGATGACAACACCTACAGCCGGGAACTCTTTGAGGAGGTGAGCCCTGGGGTGGGGATGGAGAAGGAGGCAGGTGGAGCCAGCTTCACCTGTTCCCTTGGTTACTGGTGTTTCTCTGGAAAGATGTTGTGGGAGGATGGGGAGCAGTGGGGCAGAATGAGCCCATTGGCCCTTCCTGCTGCTCCCTTGCCCCTGGGCCACCCTGTCTGTTTCTTTTCTCCTGACCTCTCTTAGATGCGCTGGACCCGTGGTGTCTCAGTGTGGCCCGTGGGGCTGGTGGGCGGCCTGCGATTTGAGGGCCCTCAGGTACAGGATGGCCGGGTTGTGGGCTTCCACACGGCATGGGAGCCCAACAGGCCCTTCCCAGTGGATATGGCAGGATTTGCTGTTGCCCTGTCCTTGCTGTTGGCTAAGCCCAATGCCCAGTTTGATGCTACTGCTCCCCGGGGCCACCTGGAGAGCAGTCTCCTGAGTCACCTTGTGGATCCCAAGGACCTGGAGCCCCGGGCAGCTAACTGCACTCGGGTAAGGGGCTGGAGGTGGGTAGAAACCTGGCTCTGGGATGTGGAAGGGTGATGGGGAATGTGGAGGAAGGCTTTGGGGAGGAGGGGAAGAACAGTTGTTTGAACAAGGAAGGACCCTGCAGAGCTCAGACTCAACCTTGCTTACTCCCCTGGAGGGGGAGCTGGGAGCCAGGGAAAGAAATGGTCTCCTGCACTCTGTCACCTGGGCACCCATGTAGCCCAGAGGGGGTAAGGGGAGAAAGCCCTATTTTAGAGGCACTACAGCCCCTGCCCTGCACACTTGAATCTAATGCTATGTGTGTAGAGGCGGCAGTAAGAGAATTCGGGCTATGCTGTGGGCTATGCTATTTTCAGTTCTAACTGAAATGCTCCCACAACAGGTCCTGGTGTGGCATACACGGACAGAGAAGCCCAAGATGAAGCAGGAGGAACAGCTACAGCGGCAGGGCCGAGGCTCAGACCCAGCTGTTGAGGTGTGATGGCGGCCCCCCCACCCCCGCCCCTGACTACCACCTCGTCAGGCACGAAGCTGGGGGACTGGGCCCCTGGCCAGCCTGGGCGGCAGATTTCCAAATCTTGACCCCTCAGAGCCAGGGGGTGGCTCCTCTGCCCCTTCAGCCCCAGAGCGTGGCCCAGCTGCTTCTCCTCTCCCCCAGCCTGCCATGTGGCACTGCCCACAGGCTGGGGACAAGCGGCCCTTGTGTTGAACCAGGTCAGCTCGGTCTGGGGTGGGGCAGAAGGACAGACACTCAGGAGGGCTGCTAAGCAACTGGGTAACTTATTGGGGCTAGGCATGGGCTGGGGGGCTGGAGGAGCTGGGCTGGACCTTCCCCACCTGAGCATGCGGATCCCATCCCCCCCCCCACCTCCAGAATAAAAGATCATGAGCTGGAGGGGCCTCTGGTTTCCTTTGTAACGCACGTCTGGTTCTTGCATTTGATCCTCACCAGAGTCAGGACCTGGGAGTCCCGGCATCTTTATCAGATAGAAATCAGTTCTCCCAGGGCCCTCCACCCCCTTGAAGAGGAAGTTGAGTGGTTTCAGTCCAAAAGCTTTATTGAGTCTGTGTGCCAGGAGCAGTCTCCAGCTCTCCCCACGCTGCTCTCCCATCACCCCGTGTGCTTTCTGGTTGTCCGGTGGTTCTGGCCACAGGGGCTAGGCCCCAGACACCTAGTTCTCTTGCTGCTACCAGTCCAGCTCCCTGACTATCCTTAACCCCCCTAATCACAGGGACTCCCCCATCTGGAGCCTTGGTACAGAGTTGTGAGGTTTTCATTCCTGTCCATCCCTCCCCTCCCCCCTGCCCAAACCCCACCCCACCCCCACCCAAGCTTCAGGCCACTAGGCCTCAGGTAGACCCTCCTTAGGAGGTGCCTCTTCTGCTGGGGCCTCCTCAGGTGCTGGCCTGTGAGCAACCCCCCCCTGTAGCCATGCTGTTTTCAGCATGTCTTTCAGCCCACTGGGAAAGAGATAGCCCTGGGCCTCTCCCTCCCCATCGATGATTCCTCCAAGCCCCTCCAGTGCCGTCTGGAGGTACCGCAGGCCCAGGAGCACCAGAATCTGTGGGGGAGGCAAGGGGCAAGAGGTCAGTGAGGGTCAATAGGTCCCTGGAGCCAGGGGTAGAAGCAATGAGGGGGGGCCCAGATGGAGGGGGCCCCCATGTTGCTGACTCACCTGCAACATGAAGGTGACAGTCAGCATGCTGCCCAGTGTGCTCGCCAAGCTCTGCAGGTGCCCCAGCAGTGCTGCGTGGCATCCTTGTGTCCAGAGGTTTAGGCTGGGCTGACGGGGATCAAAGAGAGGGTGTGCGTGGGGGTCTGAGAGCCGGCTTTGCAGGCAAGGTCTGGGCGAGTGGGGGTTGCAGCAGGAAAAAGGGACACCATCGATCAGATATAGGCCTTCCACGTTGCTCTGGATCCGACTGTAAAGAGAGGGGCAGGTGTGTCAGGATGTCTGGAAATAGAGACCCCGGCGGAGAAGCTGCAGGGCACGGGATTATCTCCATCCTACAGATGACAAAATGGGCCCGGAGCAGTTTGGTCACATGCCGTGGGTCACACACCTAATAAACAGCAGATCTGCAACCAATTCTCTCAATCACTATGCTCTATTTATTGCCTATGGGGGTGAGGTGGGTTTCAAGGGGGGAGGAGAAGAAGGGAAAGGAGGGGAAGGAGGCCAGGAGGAGCCGGGGGTGGGGAGAGACAGAACACTCACTCAACCACGTCCTGGTCACTGGGATCCAAGTAACGGCTGCTGACCCACTGGACCCCAAACCAATCCTTGTATCCGTGCCGCCCACAGCAGTGGTGCCTCAGCTGGAGCTCATCCAACAGCCGTTTGGCATGACAGTGTCCGGGCACCTCTGTGTCTTTATAGTGAGCCAAGGCAGTCCCCAGGCCCTCCTCCAGCCCAGTGTCCAGACTCCCAGGTAAAGCCAGGGTCAGCCCCAGGGCGAAGACCAGAAGACCTCCGCCTGCAGCTGTGCCAGCCACCAGCAGTGGGCCCAGGACCTTTCTCCACGGAGGGTATTGAGCTGCATCCAGACTGGCCCTGCTGGCTCCTGCACCCACCAGGCCTGTGCCCAGAGCCATTGTGCCAGCTGCCAGGGCAACCTGGGGCAGGGTGGCAAATGGGCAGGAGGGAGCCAAGAAGGTGCTGAGGTGCCACAGCTGAACCAGGAGGTGCCCGCTACAGAGAAGGGTGAGGCCACCCGCCAACGCCAGCAGCCAGGAGAGGAGCCAGAGCCCCTGTGCCAGACGGATGCGGGGCTGCAGGGGCAGCACCAAGGGCAACACCGGCGCCATCTCCCATCTCTGCCCAAGGGGAAGCAGAGCTGTCGGGGACGAGGGTTGGTGGGGACGGGATGCTGAGTCAGCCCAGCCTGGCTTGAGCCGGGCTAATGCCACCCTGACCCCAATACCCTGGGAATCCGCCCACCCCTAGCCTTAATAACCCGCTGCCCTGGCCCCTGCCAAGCCCCAATTCGAGATGCCTTTGCCTTGCCCCTTAGGGAAAGCCCCGCCCCCGGGCAGAGGGCCCATTTCGTAACCCCGCCCCGGTCCCCTCGCGGAAGTGGGGAGGGGCGGGTCGGCTCTGCCCCTAGGGGCTAAGGGCCGGGTACCGGGACCAGAGAAGACCCCAGGGAGTCCGGGGGCGGGGGATCCCTAAGGACGCGGAGGCCCGGAGGGGGCCCAGGGGTCAGCAAGTGGGCCCTGCCCGGGTCCTGAGCCCCGAAGCCCGGACAGGGAGGGGTTACCACCGGGCGGCCCGGCCTCCCCCAACGTCCCGCCCCCCCTCCCGCGCTTCCTGGCGGCTCAGCGTCCGGCGCCTGTTTGTGCTGCGGCGCTGGGGCCTGGGACGGCCCCGCCACTGCACCCCCGGGAGCCGAGAGCGGCCCCGGGAGAGTCCGAGGCCCCGGGGGGCCCTGGAGCCTGCCGCCCCCGCCCCACAGCGCCCCCTCCAGGCCCTTTCCCCGCGCCCGACAGCGCCCCCGGGGGGTGGCACAGCAGCCGTGCGCGCGCGCCCCAGGGTGCTTCCCCTTCCCCTCTCCCTGGCCATGGCCCCGGCGGCTTAGAAGCCTCCGCCGCCGCCGCCGCTCGGAGCAAGCCGGGGCCGGATGGACGGGGCCGGGGGGCCCGGTGAGTACGGGGCGGGGCGGGCGGCGTGCCCCTTCCCGGAGCGCCGGCTGGTCGGCCGCTGCCACTGCCCGCCGGGCGTCTGGTGGTGTCCCCGCGTGCTCCTCGGCCTCAGGGCTTCTGAGCATCCTCCACGGTGCCTCAGGTCGCTCTTCCTCGTTATTTGGATCTCCTGCTGTCATTTCCACCTTCCTCAACGTCATCCACTCCCCATGTTACTCTGGGCCCCTTGATGTTCCTCTGCTCCCCGGTGTTAGGTGTTATTACGGGCCTATTCTCCTGGTATTTCGGGTCGTTTTACTTCTGACCCGTTACCCTGGGACCTTCACTATGACTCCGTCTCCACCTATACCCTCCCGGGTCGGGTCGTTCTGGATCTCTTCTGGTCTTCTGAGCCCTCAGATGACTGTATTCCCGTGTCCCCCTCTTCTTTTGGGCCCCCCTCCCTCTCTGTTTCTCTGCCTTCCCTGGAGAGCTGAGCCTGCTCTGCGGTGGGCAGTCACCTCTGAGCTGCACCGGGCCTCCCTCTGTGGTTCCCACGTTCCGGGGCAGTACCCCATATTTCCCCCCTGGGACTCTATGGTACTCCCTGTCTTTGCGGAGGCTGAGACAGCAGCAGGAAGGGAGCTTTGCCAGGCTCCCCGCCTGCCCTGCCAGAAGGAGGCCCTTGATCCTCTACCACCCGTCTCCTCCCCTCCCGGCCAGCCTCCAAGCCTGGGGCTGCTTGAAGGGGGCAGTGCTGTCGGACAAATGCGAAGTTGGGGGAAGACAGAAGCCCCTCAGCCCTTTCTTCAGGTGGTTGGTCCATTCTAAGTGCCTCTTGCCCTGTTCCCAGGTGAGGGCCCTGCTCAGGAGGCCCTGCAGTCCTTGAGTCGGCGGCTTCAGGTGCAGGAGAAGGAGATGGAGCTGGTAAAGGCAGCCCTGGCCGAAGCTCTCCGCCTGCTGCGGCTGCAGGCGCCCCCCAACTCCCTGCAGGACTCTGGCACCCTAGCTGCCACAAGGGACAGGTATACACATTGTCACACCCTCTTCCTCTTTCTTCCAGGGACCTCTAGGGGCATCAGGTTGATTCACTGTCTCCCCAGCAGCCCTGCAGCGCCCCCCGGACTGCCACCCCCATGCAGCCCCTCCTTGGTGAGCCGCGGCACCCAGACCGAAACAGAGGCGGAGCGGGAGGCATCCCTGGGACCCTCTGGCCTGAGCAATGGCCCCCCGGCCCCACAGGGGGGCAGTGAAGAGCCTAGTGGGACCCAGTCTGAAGGAGGGGGCAGCAGCAGCAGTGGCACTGGCTCCCCTGGCCCCCCGGGGATCCTCAGGCTAACGCAGCCCCCACAGCGTGCTGACACGTAAGTGTCCTGTGGCAGAGGCCAGGAGGGGTGGGAGGGTTGGGGAGCAGGAACAGAGGGAGTGATATTTACCTGCTCACTATGCTCCTACCAGGCCACGGAGAAATTCTTCCTCCTCATCCCCCTCAGAGCGGCCCAGGCAGAAACTCTCCCGGAAGGCAGCTTCCTCAGCCAACCTGTTGTTGCGGTCAGGGAGCACAGAGAGGTGGGCGAGGCTTCCCCCGCCACCCCCCGCCTGCCCCCCCACCCCCAGGCTCAGGCTTTTGACTTTCCACATCCCACACCTCACTTCCCTGGGTGGGGTGGGGGGGACCTCATTGGCCAACAGGAAGAAAGGAAGAAGCACCCCTGGGGGGGTCTGCTGTGTACCCGGCACTGTGCTAAACTCTCAACCTCCTCCATCTCATTCAGTTCCCCACAACATCCTTGGGGGGGTAGGTGGTGTCATGCTGTTCATTGTCCAGGTGAGGAAGCAGGCTCAGAGAGGGTAAGTGATTTGTCTGGGGTCACACAGCTAGAGCTAGGATATGAACCCTACTCTTTCCGACTCCAGTTCTGCTGTTTCACTGCGTACCTTCCAAGAGTTTAGGAGGTACCACAAGCTCTCGTGATTTTCATGGATGACTTGTTTTCAGAGTTTCAACCCTACCCCTCACCCTGTAACCCCCTCCCCCTTCCCCCTCATCTCCCAGGCTTTATTTCTAGACAGCAAGGGGGAAATCCTAGTGGCTGAGCATGGTTATCTCAGGGTGCGTACAGGCTTCAGGACTCCTGTGTGTTCATTTGAACCCTGTCCTTGGTTTCTTCTTTATTCTCTGAAGAGATGTTGCAGCCATATGGTCTAGTGACAGCTCTCTGTGGAATTCACCTGTTACTTTCCTCTTGAGACATAAAGACATTCTTGCTTTCCTCCCAGATCCCTGAAAGGCAGGGCTGGTGTACATTCTGGATTCACTCTGGTCCCATTTTACAGATGGAGAAATGAAAAGGCCAGCCAGAGGCCTGTGGTCTAGGAGAAGGGGCTCCCCCCTGCCATGCCACTCTGCCTCTCACAAACTTTAGGGCTCTGTGCTGAGTGCTCAGCCCCTTCAGCCCAAACTTTCTCATCTCTTACAACGGAGCCGAGAGTCCCTATCTACTCTGGGGCCCTGAATGCTCTGGATGCAGGCTAAAAGCCTGCAGAGGTGTCTGGGTGAACCTCCTTTCCTGTGTCCTGCCCTTCCCCACTTACGTCTCAGGACCTGACCTCATCACTCTGCTCCTCTCTCTTTCCCAACAGCCGTGGAGGGAAAGACCCCCTCTCCAGCCCCGGGGGTCCTGGGTCTCGGAGGAGCAATTATAATTTGGGTATGTACGGAGAAGTCTGGCACGATGGAGTTAGGGTTTGGGCTACAGCCCCAGGAGCTATTTCGGGGGACCTGTGAGGTGTGGTGGGTAGAGTCCTGCTCTGGCTTTCCCGAGAGGGAGGCTGCAGGGTGGTGGTTGACACCCCCCTTTTCTCTGTAGAAGGCATCTCAGTGAAGATGTTCCTTCGCGGCCGCCCCATTACCATGTACATCCCATCTGGCATCCGCAGCCTTGAGGAGCTGCCCAGCGGCCCACCCCCGGAGACCCTCAGCCTTGACTGGGTGTATCCTGCCCCCTCCAGTCCCATGGGGACCCCTTTCCCATCTTGGGAACCCCCCTTCTTTCTGGCTTCCCCCTGGGTCTGCGGGATCAGGAAGCCATCGGAATCCGCCCCTCCCATCTTCTGCCAGTGGTGCTGCCAGCCAGAAGCTCTTTTGTTGTCCCCACTCTTCCTCACTCTGCCCTCGGTCTGACCCTTTCCTTGACTGTGATCCCCACTCCAGTTATGGGTACAGGGGTCGTGACTCCCGCTCTAATCTGTTTGTGCTGCGCTCTGGGGAGGTGGTCTACTTCATTGCCTGCGTGGTGGTGCTGTACCGGCCTGAGGGAGGCCCAGGGGGTCCTGGAGGTGGTGGCCAGAGACATTACCGGGGCCACACGGACTGCGTTCGATGGTGAGGGGCCCGAGGCCTGGGAGCGGGCAGTTCTGGGTGTGGGGATGGTTAGTGTGGCAGGAACGGGATCTGGGAGGGTGCAGAGGAGCAGGAAAGAAGAGTTGCCTTGCTGGTCTGCAAGCATGGAGAAGGGTGTCCTGGGGGGTCTTGGGAGACCAACCCCCTTCCCGAGAGTGTCTCCTCCTTCCACTTAGCCTGGCCGTCCACCCCGATGGTGTCCGTGTAGCCTCAGGACAGACAGCTGGGGTGGATAAAGATGGAAAGGTAAGGCCAAAGTCAAACCCTGGGCAGACGGGAGGAAATTCTAGCCTGGCTGCCCTTCACATCCTGACCTCTTCTCTACCAGCCCCTACAACCTGTGGTTCATGTCTGGGACTCTGAGACACTGCTGAAGCTGCAGGAGATTGGACTGGGGGCCTTCGAGCGGGGTGTAGGAGCCCTGGCCTTTTCAGTGGCGGTGAGCTGGCCCTCAAGCTCCTTGGCCCCCATATTCCTTGACCAGAAACCTCATCCTTGCACTTCACCAGGACGCCTCAGGAGTTCTGGCATTCCTGAACCCAGCCGACTTTCCTGAGAAAGGGACAGGGGTCCACCTCACCTGCCCGCTCAACCCGCGATGGCAGCCTTTGCCTGATGACTGTGAACCCACAGACCTTGAGGCCTCACTTGGCCCGCCTCGATGTGTCCCCTATTTGCAGGATCAGGGTGCTTTTCTTTGTGTGGTGGATGATTCCAATGAGCACATGCTGTCAGTGTGGGACTGCAGCCGGGGCACAAAGCTGGCTGAGATTAAGGTGAGGAGTCCAGGTGGCCTGGCAGGGCAGTGAGGTTAGGGTGCCCAGAGCAGTGGAGTACAGATAGCTCCAGGCTTCCCCAAACATCGACTTCATTTCTGGCTGGGTCACCTGGAGCAAGTCTCATAGCCTCTCTGAGGCTGGGAGAGGTGACTATGGAAATTCTGGCTTCCTGAGTGATCTTGTGTTAGGCATTAGAGTGGTGCTGGCATCATGAGTGACTGGGGGAGGGGGTGGGGGTGCTCTTAGGGAACCAGACTTGTCCTGGGGTTTTGAGACTTCAGCAGACCAGCTGTCAGGATGCAAACTGAAGAGTCAGAGTGTGGGTGCTCAGGGCTTGGGGTAGCTGAATCTAGTATCTT